AAAAATCACTTAAAACATTTTTTAAAACACACACACAAACTGGATTACTCCATTTGCTTTTTAATTAGCTACTGAAATCACTTGTCCCTAAACAGCTAACCGAATCACCTTCCTTGGTCTTCCATCCATCGCTCAGGGAAGGGATGCGCTCATTTTCTGCTAAAGAAGGTAGTGAATGGACTGGTTTCCATAGTTACATACACAAAGAGAAGGAAAACAAAGATACAAAACACAGCAATCTTTATCCGTGTTGGTATAAGTCCTCCAGCTGGTTTTTCACATGCCTTCTGGGATTTGATTTCAGGACGTTTCTTAACTGAAGGAGGAGTCTCTCTTAATGTTCTTTTTCGAGAACTAAAAGCACAAAAGGCAATATACTAGCTGATTATACTTCTAAAATCCAGAAGGGAAAAATGCTAATGTTTTTATGTTGAGATATGGAGTGTCTGACTAGACCAGTATTTGCCTAACCTGGAAAAGAGGCATATTAGAGAACTTCAGCTGCTACAAATTAGAACATGTTTATGAAAGGATACAAAATACTGATATTTCAGTAGTTCACAATAGGTTGTAGTTTAACATAGTAGCACATAATATAAAGAAAATGAAGCAACAGAATTTTAATGAAGCTTGTTAGATGTATACAACAGGTACAAGTTAGTGGTAGGGACTCCTATACAACAAAGAAATAGTGACAGTTCTTGGTCATACCTTTAACAGCACTTAAGGCCTTTTATCTAGCAACTGTCTTGTTAGGCCAATTGCTGAAGCACTGAATCTCTCAACCTACCCTACCCCCCCAAATAGCTACATTTCTGGATTAGGTTTGGCCCTTTTCTCATTAGACAGTTGTTCCCACTAACCTGTACACTTTTAGCCTAAAAATATTATAAACTCACTTCTTTGAGCTTTTCTTCACAGCCTCTTTAATCCATATGGAACTTGCAATCCCCAGTTGAGCAAATTGTTAGTATTTTCAACTTTTCAGAGCAACTAGTTCCAGCTGATTTCTGTAGAAATCACAGTTTCTTTCAGCAAAAAAGGGTTGTTGGGGTTTTGCCTAATAAGCCCTAAATAGTTTTTCTTCATTATAGCTTTTTGTGTATTTCAGTTACTTGGGATACTTGGAAAGGCATAGAAGAGCTTCTTGAGCTTTTTTTCAAAGGAAAGAGAGGCTTCATTGATCTGTAGGGCACATATCCCAGGCTTCCTAAGATAATTCTCAAGAACTTTACCTAGTTCCTACGCTGTTCGCATCAGGATGACCATAATCAATGTGCAGTGCATCACTTTTCTGAAAAAAGAATGATGGATTTATGAATTGGTGTAACTCCGTGAAATATATGAAAATACATACTTTTTTTTGTAAACTAAAGGAACTATCTTCTTTAAGGGGTTTGACAATTTTTTCAATACATTTTAAGAATAGTAAAAATATTAAAAAACCATACAACAAAATCCATAGCCAAGGTATTCTCACATCCATCAACAGTACTCAGTACAGCCACCACACAGACTTTACCCCACTCCCAGGTTCCCATGACAGATGGCAAAACCACATTTTCAGGGCCTTACAAAAAGCCAGGAGGATCGGGGCCAATCTGATCTCCTGGGACTATAATCCATGTGTCTCCTGGCTACTTTGGGAGAGTAGTGTGAATGTGACAACTTGGGTCCTGGAAACAGTTACTGTTTCACTGAGAGAGAAGTGTTTTTACTGGTGTTGAAAGAAGCAATCATGCGCCTTCTCAAAAAGCCATCCTTTGACCCAATAGTTCTGGAGAATTATCACACTGTCTCTACCTTTCCCTTTTTAGGGAAGACTGTTGAGAAGGTGGTGGAATGTCAGTTACAAAGAGCTCTTGAAGAAGCAGATTATCTAGATCCGTATCAGTCAGGATTCAGAAATGGTCACAGGATGGAAACAACATTGGTCTCTCTGATTGATAACTTCTGTTAAGATCTAGATGGGGAGAACACACCTCTCCTGGTCATTTTAGACCACTCATCAGTGTTTCAAACCATCAACCATGGTATCCTCCAGGATTGTCTGCAAGGATTGGATATCAAGAGCACTGTGTTTCAGTACCAGTCAGTGGCAGTGGGGGAGGAGAGGTCAACTGTACAGGTCCTCACTTGTAGGGTCTCACAGGGACTGATTCCCCCCACCCCCTTTAGCATTTATATGAAACTGCTGGGAGAATTAATCTATCAGTTGGGATGAGATACCATCAACATGCTCAGCTGTACATTTCCACCCTGAGCTGAGCCAGAGACACCACGGAAGTCTTGAACTGGTGTTTGGAGGCTGCTCTACTCTAGATGGGATGAAACAGGCTGACTTGAACTCAAGCAAGACGGAGTTACTGTTTGTGCCGAAGGAAGCTCTGTCAGCTTCAGTGGTAATTCTTGAGGGTGTGGCACTCCCCTGAAAGAGCAGGTCTATGACTTGGGGCTCCTTCTAGACTCACTGCTACTGGTAGATATGCAGGTAGAAGCCACAGGCAGTAGGGTCTTCATCTGCATTGAGAGCCCCTAGCAAGTGATTCATGCATTTATCATTACCAGTTTGTATTACTGCAATGTGCTTCATATGGGGCAGCCTTTAAAAACCACTCAGAAATTGCAATTAGTACAAAATACAACAACCCATATACTGGCAAATCAAAGTCATCATAGTTAAATAATATCTGTTCTAGGGTTCCTGCAATGCTAGTCAATAGGTTTCTGCATACAAGTCAAAATCCTTCTGTTGACCTATAAAGCATTCTTCCTCTGGAAGTCTGGCTAGCACCCTCATTGTTCCTTTTGGAAAACCACATAAAGACCATTCCAGAGGGCATCTGAGGAATAAATAGTCAACATAGCACTTTAGTGCCTTTGTATTATAGTATTCATCTTGGTTTTATTTATTTATTTTATGTTGTTTGATTTTTATGAAAAATACATACACATTACTTTGGCGATTGCCCAAAATTAGTCAATCTTGTTCTACTCCAGTTTATTAATAATGTGCAAGGAAGCCGTGGGAAACTGAAGTAATTTGCAAAAGATGCAGAAAAGTAGCAGAGAACTGCCTCTAACTGCCTAATAAATGATCCTTAAATGTATACTCCTCTTTTCTGACAAAAGCATGTCCAACGTAACAAAGGCAATAAGTATTTATTCTAAAAATGATTTGAAGCCTACTGTCATGTAGTGTGGCAGTTAAAGTACTGGACCATCATTGGGAAGACCCATTCAAGTCCCTCTTTACAGCAGAGCTCATTCGATGACTTTGGGGGAATCGCTCTCAGAGCCCAGCCTACCTCCACAGAACATTGTTGTGAGATAAATAAGAGGAAAGTTCCTTAGCTGCCAGGGATAAGGTGGAGTATATATCCGGTCAGTAAATTGCAGGGCTTGATTAACAGCCACTGTTCCAACGGACTTATTTAATATAGTTTTCACATCTGTCTGCTGTCCCCTGGGAAGAAATATATTGCTTTCATCTTAGGCAATGGCCCACCGCTTGCTCACTATCTAAGGTTTGTCCTTAGATGTGGATTCAGAGCTGATCTCATCTGTTTACTGGATGCAATTTCTTCTCCCTACTCTTAACTACTTTGTTCTCAGTATACTAACATTTCTTCTCACTGAGCTTGCTTTCATTGAGCTGTACTAATTCTGGCTTGAGCATTTCTCCCAAACTACCTGTGCTGTACCTGGGATGAATAAAGCAGTCCTGAAATGCAAACCTGCCTACCCCCAAGATTATTATAACAGAAATCCTAATCCAGTCTTCTGATGAATGCAAACTGCCAGCAGCCCGCAGGCACAAAAAGAAGATAAACAATGAGCTGAAGGCCTCAAAGAGACTGCCTAGAATACCTTGGTGACTGATAAAGGGAAACTGCTAGAATACCTGCCATTGTTTACCTTCTCAACCTTGGCAATTTTAAGGTGTCTGGACTTCAACTCTCAGAATTCCCCAGCTAGCATGCTGGCTGGGGAATTCTGGGAGTTGAAGTCCAGACACCTTA